CAAAAAAGCCAATGCCCCCCAAAAGAAAAGCCTGTAAGTAGTGTGCACGCACATCGCACAAAGAGCAATGGTAGTGCCATGCTTACAAGGCTCAGCTGCTCATCATAAGGGTGGTTAGTCCAAACTCAGCAGCCCTATTGGAGAAGATGTGGCTGTCTGTTCCCACAAAGATCAAGCCCGTTGCTATAGCTGTTGTGGTTGTTAGCTCCAAGTCCTAGCAACCCTACACACAACAGAACAAAACCCTGCCCAGGCCTGTGCCTTTCTCACAAGCGTTCTTACAGGTGAGCCCCTTGTTGCAGTCTCTGTGCCAATCCATCTTGACACAAGGCCGTCCTCTCTCTCACTGCCCCTCGACTTTACCAAGCAGGCTGTCCTTCTCCAGACACTGGTCTCTCTGGACAACATGTCCCAAGCACGTGAGATGAAGTCTTGCCATCCTTACCTCTAAGACTTGTTGATTCTTATGGCAGTCCGTGGACTTTGAATATTCTTAGCTAACATAATTCACATTCATTGATTCTTCTTCAGTTCTTTATTCAGTGTCCAACTCTCACTTGCATTTGAGGTGATTGAAAATACCATGGTTTGAGTCAGGCGCTAGTGTACTACAATTAAAAAAGGCCCTACGTAGAGTTTCAAAATCTGTCAAACGTATAGCCCCATCTTCCTCCCAAGGAGCAGCTGCTGGGTTTGAAGCTCTGACCTTAACCCTTAGCAGTCCAGCACCTATTCGACAGTGCCACCAGGGCTCCTCTGCAAAGAACGTAGCCTTGGACAGATGGTCTCTCTGAGTATATGATGGGTTTCATTTTAAAATATATCAGGAACAAAAAGAGCTATCTGAGTAGAGGAATGATTTGAGAATTTTATTTTCCTTTTGTTAATCTCTCAATGTTGAGCTTTGTTAATATGAACATGTAGCACTTCCCTCATAGTAATACCTTAAATGATTTTGTAAGCACCTGGGAAGAAGGGAGGTAGTTATTTAATAGCCCAAGCTAGCTTTCCTTCAATAATGTCATGAATTTCAATGAAAGTCACTTTATCGGAGCAGCAGGCTCCGTCTGGAATGTTAATCTAAGGGCAGATACCTGCTTGCCTGCTCAAATATGTGCATTGGCAAAGGACACCTGAGCCTCTGAAGTGCCCTTGAGGTCAAGGTGAGGGCAGGGTGTTCTCTGGGGCAGTGAGACTGAGCAGACCTGCAGGGAGAACTTGGGCCACCAGGCTCCAGAAATGGCTGCCTTGGAACGTGCCCTGTGACTTCAGTCACACACACACACACACACACACACACACACACACACACGTGCACAACAAACCCTTCTCCACATAGGGAAGGTGAAAACTAGTGTGGGGTCTGACATCCTCAACTTCACAAGTGGGTGGGAGGAAAATCAGAAACAA